ATCTATCTATCTATCTATCTATCTATCTATCTATCTATCTATCTATCTATCTATCTATATCTGCATACATATCTATATATAAATATACACATATATGATATTACATTATTTGGTGTACCTATGTGTATCCACACATGTGTGCACACATGTTCCTATATATATATATATATGCAGGCATAAATATATGCACATGCAAATAGAGACACAATGCATGCACATATACACAAATACATATAACACTTAGTGATTTTGTTATCTCATACTTCTTTGCTTCACCCTAGAAGGTAGAATTCTGAGTAATGGGTAGAAGTTAACAGAGGCAAATTTCGCCTTAATGGAAAGAAAATATTCCTAGCAGTTGCATCAATCCCAAAGCAAAGTGGAATGGACATTTTAGAATTGGTTTGTTTTTCCTCCCTAGAGTTCTTAAAAAAAAAAAGGCTTGATGATCATGTGTTGAATATGTTATGGAAAAAGATTATATTTTATCTTTGATTTAGACTAGATGACCATCTGTTTCCATTTCAACTATAACTATGATTCTGCCTTTTGTATTAAAAATTTCAAAAATAATGAAATGTGATTTTTTTCTGATTGGATACAGAACTAAAAAATATAGTCATTTGATTTAAAATTAAATACTGTCCACCGCATTGGCTTACTGATACAAAAACACAGAAGGCATATCAGATCTCAGTTCATTTCAAAACTTTAACTTCAAATTTATATAAATATGTAATAGTATAAACATTTACTTTTCTGTTACTTGAATAGTCAGAAGTTTACCATCTAATTTAATTTGATCAGACTGAGAATAACCAATTAATTCTTCCTGTATAGCCTAGTATATAGAAAAGAATTTAAAGATTAATTTAATTGAGTTGACACTGATAAAAGTTTTAGTTTATATGGAGGGAATTGTTTCTACAAAATAAGAGCAGTTAGTATCTAGAAGAGATGAGTTGAGAAGTTTGACAGCAACTTAATTACTTTAAATTTCAAATTAATTCATTAAATTAAAAAAAAACAAATGTTAGGTCATGACATGAAAAGTAAACTGATTCTAAATTTATACATGTGTTATGGTTCCCTAAGCAAAATTCCTTTTGATTAAAAGGTTTTTATAGTATTTATTTTATGGATAATAAATATTAGATATGTAGCTATAGAATGGCCAGTGATTTTCTTGAGGATAATAACATAATTTCTAGAATTCTAGAATTTGAACACTTCATGTTTGGTAAGTTCATCAACACACGTATTCTCCATTGGGGGAATTTACAATCCACTCATGTCCCATTGTCTTCTCTTTTTGTTTGTTTGTTTGTTTGTTTGGTTGTTTGTTTTGCTAGGCAATGGGGTTAAATGAGTTGCCCAGGGGCACACAGCTAGTAAGTATCAAGTATCTGAGGTCACATTTGAACTCAGGTCCTCCTAACTCCAGGGCTGGTGCTTTATCCACTGTGCCATTCAGCTGCCTCTCGTCCTATGTCTTCTTATCTTAATCAGATTTTGACTATTTTCTTTCATTGAACTTGACAAAGTATCCACCTATCTTGTTGAAGTCTTTCCTTTAGGTTTTTCTTTCTTTCCTTCCTTCCTTCTATGAACAGGGCTACGCTCAGATGGCTGTCCTTTATGATACCTTACTGCCTCCTATCATACTTTTAATAATCATGATTATGATGACGAAATCATATACATATATGTGTGTATACATATATATAGCACATTAAGATTTACAAAGTACTTTAAACAAATTATTTTATTTGATTCTCACAACCCTTTGAAATAAGAGGCGTAAGTGTTATTATTCCCATTTTGTAGATGAAGAAATTAACATTTCTGTTTTGGTAAAGGATTTCAATGCAATTCTGGGTGCGGCCATCACTGCAAATATACTGTAGGCATCATGTGCCTGCCATGTTATTCTCCATAGTACACTGAGTCACCCGCAACTTGGAATCCTTGGAGGTTGTGACCTTCCAAGATTTGTAACCATGCTGCCTCATTTGGGGAACATCTGGGAAAATGAGATCCCAAGAAGCTCCAAAGAGCAAAGACCAATTTTTAAACACAATACTTTCCTTATGGTCCTTTCCTTAAAATATGAACTATATAATATGTAAAAAAAAAAAATTAAAGTAGGTAGAAGTGGGAATGGGACCATATGATCATGCATTTAGAGTTAATGATTCTTTCTTTCTCTTTCCCTTAATTCATTCAATTCTTGGGAAATTATGTGCAGGTGGATGAATTCTATTTACTTATGCCATGTATTATTTATATTTCAATCTTCCTCTAATACTTATCACAGTGCTTTATACACTGCAGGTGTTTGAAGAACAACAGTGGTCATGACATTCAGTGTGTCTCAACCTTCAAAAAGCATGGTGTACTTGGTAAAAGCACAGAGTTTGAAATCAAAACATCTGGGTTCAAGTCCCAGACTTAGAAAATTGTTACTTATGGGACCCAGAGATATTTGCTTAGCTTTCTCAGAATTTTAGTTTTCTCATCTATAACGTGGAAATAATATTTACACTACCTACTCTTGTAGGGGTAATGTGCAGGTCAAGAGAAACAAATAACATAGTGTCCTTTGTAAATATAATATGCCATCTAAGTTATTAATATTATTTTTAGCCCCAAATCAAACATGCTTGGCATACTTTTTATATATTTAAAATCAATAAGTTAACACACATTTATTAAATGCCTTCTATGTGCCAGACACTGCATATTAAGTATTAAGGATACAAAGACAAAAAAACAAAGGAACA